ACTGGTCCATGAACTCTATTGCCTAAAGTTAATCAAACCACTCCACACCTCTCTCTGCACATCTTTCTTAACTCTGTCCGCACTGTACTCTTTGTACTGTGACATCATTGCAATGTTGCCCAAGATTCCTGGAACCCTTGTAGAAACATACCCTTGATAGTACTAATAAACTTGCCAAAATCACAACTCTGGACAGGATGGGATTTCTGTTTCTTCACTGCAACACAAGCAGTATGATCAAACACTCCCTTCTCTCCCTCAGTGGAAGTGGGTATGTTGGCAGTGCCCATACTGATAACCACAACATGCTGCCACTTCTGTTTTACCCATAATCCCCTGCATCCTGGTGTGGATTATTAATGTCTGCTACAATCAAAGTACACTCCTTCAACCCTCCAAATGCAGAATGCTTCCATTTCAAGATAAAAGTTGGTGCAATTCCCAACTTGGCTGTATCCTTTAGCAACCAATGCTGGATTAATCAGTCCTGTTTTGTAACAGCCTGTAACCTGAAGGTTTAGATTTGACTTTTCACACAAGTGCTAAAGATACGCAGATCCAGATTCTTCAAGTAAACAGATTTACTGAACAGAACAAAACTTTACTGTGGCTACAATTTTTAAAAAATCAATATTTGACCACAAAAATTCTCACACTTTGAAACCTCTGTTTTATTTGATGTATAAATGATGATGGACAACCTGATTCCATGAGTAGTTAAGGAGAAAAAAGATGCACTGGGAAATCTCCAGTGCCATCTAGTGTGAGAATACTGACAGGACAATATCTAACAGAGCTCAGTCCTGCAAGTGTGTCATTGATTTTACACTGTTATTTCAAAAAGGGATTAAGGAGGGGTGATACAAAACAAGTCGTGAAACAGGAATGTTCCGTTTTATTCTATAATTGAGGGTGAAATTGCCAAAAACAAATTGGAATGTTTATGAAATGACTGAGCCTGGAGCAGTCACAGAGCCTTCCTTTGACTGCATTGTTTTCATCTGATACATCTGTGGCAGGGATCAGTAATCTTAGGAATTCGATTGCAGTTGTAAGGTGGAAAAGCAACTTTTGACAAAATAGATTAAGTTTATTTAGTTAGTGAACCTTCCTAATTGAAACAATTTCTAAATAATGATAAATGAGTATGAAAGAACACTTGGAATTTCCATTGTTTATAGTGTTTAACCTGGAGGCAAGAAAGGAAAGACCATACTTCCAGTTGGACAATAATAAAAGGCTTCCATAAATCTTTTGGCTGTTTTCATTGACACATGCTGGCAATTTAGCTGAGCTTGCCTAACACTAGAGAGTTGCCACCAGCCTATTTGACTTCCTTCCATTGTTGGAGAACTTTATCAATGCTTCTGCTACATGTACAATATGTAATGACATCAGAAAAGTAATCTGTGTAAAGTAATCTGGTTGCAGTTAGAGGAAGTCACTCTGACTGATATGGGGCCTTTGTACATTTAATGCAGACCTTTGATTCAGTTATGATAGCTTCAGGACATAGCGATATGTTTTAACTTGCTGGAGAGTGCTGAAATAGAGCTCTAATATCTCAACATTAATTCTGTTCGTTATGAACATTAGAAGTGAATAGATGTGTGGTTGATCTAACGACTGGGATTGGCTTTTATAATGTTGTGATCTATTGGTACAATCACACTGATTTTAGAACTTGAAAGAGATTCAAGGATATTAGCAGACCTCATGTAACATGTCCAGTAATCTTTTTCCACCTCCTTAATATTGTCATCTGCAGCCCTGTCAGCTTTACCTGCTGTTAAAACCTACATCAACATCTTTGTCACATCGAGACTTGAACTAATCCAGTGCACCCCTGTATTCTACTCTCCACAAATTGAGGTTGTCGAAAGCTCTGCTGCCCATTTCTTAACATACAGCAATGCCCCATTCATCCATTACCTGTGTTCACTTGATGTACTTGGAAACCAGGTTAAATAATTCTCAATTCAAATATTTTTATCCTTTTTTTAAAAATCACTCAATGGCCTAACCTCTGTCTCTGTAATCTCCTTCTGCTCTCCAATCCTCCACGAAATCTGCACTCCTCTAATTCTGGCCCCTTAAACTTTCCTGATTTTAGTCACTCCACCAATGAAGACTCCCCCCACCACCCCTCTCCAGCTGCTGCAACCCTAAGAACTAAAATTCCCTGTCAAACCCCTCCTCCATGTCCCTGTTCCAATACTTCTCAAAATCTACCTGTTTGGCCAAGATTTTGGTTATCAGCCTTCATACATCCTTACGTGTTTCAGCGTTAAATTGAGTTGGATAATGCGCTTCAGAAGCATCTCAAATGTTATGCTGTGCTAATGATGCTGAACACATGGTGAGAGTATCCTGTAAGTTCCATCTTTAGATGGTGCAAAGGCAGAAACACAGTTAACATCATTATCAAGTGACAGGAAGCAGCTGCCTGTCTGAAGATGGCACTGCAATGTGTAAGATAATATATCCAATATGACAAAAATAAAAAGTGTTTCATTTTATTTTGAAGATGGTCTCTTTTCTTTGCAGCATGCCTCTTCTTGCACTTCCTAGTTGCCTCAATATTTCTCCCAATCCCTCTGCAGCCTCCCAATATTATTACAATTTTCCTGTCACTCCCAGGTGAAAAAAAAGCCAGGCTGAACCCTGTACAGACCTTTCCTGACACTTTTGACTCTTGCTGTCAGCACTGGGCCATTGTCCTGCCTCCAGACCCTCAACTTCAATAACCAGCATGAAATAAAAGTGGGCAGTCTGTGTATGTGCTGTCACTGCGTACAGAATGTAATGTACAGGGGGTCAATCGCTGTTTTAATGACCATTTTAGCATGCAGAGTAATTACTTTGAAATAAGTAACTCAGTTCAGAGGGGTCTGGGTATCCTTGTACAAGAATCAGAAAATGTAAAAGTGGAGCTACAATGGAGTTAATTAAAGGCATATTGAAATTTTGGCCTTCATTGCAAAAGAGATAAAATGGGGAAGTCTTGCTGCAACTCTATAGAGCATTAGTGAGACTGCATCCAGAGTACTGTATACACTGTTGGCTTTCCTTACTTGAGGAAGGATATACTTGCATTTTAAGGTAGTTTAGAAGAAGGTTTGCTAAGCTGTTCCGAGAATGAGGGAATTATCAGGAAGTTTGACCTATACCAGTTGGAGTTTAGAAGAGTGAGAAGTGACCTTGATGAAGCATGTAAATTTCTAATTGGGCTTTAAAAGGTAAATACTGAGAGGATGTTTCCTCTTATGGGTGAATCTAGAATTCTGGAGCATAATTGTAAATGAAGGGGTCTCTCATTTAAGTTAGACACAAGGAGAAATTTCTTTCCAAGGAAAATCATTACTGTTTGGAATTCTGTGACAGAGGGCAGTGGATGTTTGTTTAGTGAATATGTTCGAGGGTGAGTAGGTAGTTTTATGAGGGTTTTGAGAGTTATGGAGGGAGGCAGATAAGTGATATTAAGGCTGCAAGTTGATCACCCATGATCTAATTGAATATGGAATACATACACAAAGGGTTGAAAGATCTCCCCACTCCTATTTTTCATGAGTATATAAACATCATTTGTTGGCTGTGTGAGCTTTGACAAGAAATGATGGTATCCTCAGAGTGGCACGCAACGTAGTGAAAGGATAGTAAATCTGAATCATGGAAATGATGGCAATCAGGAAAAAAAAAGCATCTGTTCAACTCCCCACTGGGGGTCTGTGGCCGCAGCTGTATTCCGACACATGGGGAAAGAGCTCAAACCCTATCAGAGAATGCTAGATCCCCTGGAAAATTCCAGTTAGCCTCTTACAATAAACCGTAATAGGCCATGAGTTATTCTTAATTGCCTAGCAGACTCTTGCAGATATTGACTCTACTGCTTCCCCTAGATCCACCGCAACGATCATAAATGAGATGACCACCGAGCAAGCTGGTGGGGCTGTGAATTATTGCACCCACCTTCCTCCTTGTTCAGCCCCGTATGAGCCTCGAAATCCTGTGTTCTGTCTTGAGGAATAGATTAATGTATCGCCAAGGTTTCAAGAAGAATGAGTCCAGATACTGTGGGGCACATTTATAGTTCTTTTTAAGTGGACAAAACAAGACCAAGATGAGATATATTACAAATCTTTAAACTAATTAAAGGTACAGCAAAAGTTTAAGTAAGCAAGCTATTAAATTATCTGAAGACTGTAGGATGCAAGTTCAAGATTCATAAACCATGGTCAAGATTAAGCATCAGAAAATTATTCCCTGACACGCAATTGTGAACAAATGGAACAGACTCCTATTAAGGTAGTTAATGTTCCAAGTTACTGAGTTCTGAGTTACTGAGAACTGAGCTCCAAAGAGGAGTCATATCAGACTCAAAACATTAATTCTGTTTCTCTATCCGTGAGTGCTGCCAGACTTGCTGAGTTTCTCCAAAAACTTTGTTTTCATTTCAGATTTCTGGCATTATCTGAATTATGCTTTAATAAGGAGAGAGGCCACTTGACCTTATGACTATCATCTTGTTACAATGCAGCTTGTCTATTCTCCAAGTTGTTTTGGAAGAGGTCGTGTACAAATTTTATTAAGTTTACAGGCATAAAGATGTAAGTATGATGATTTGATTTGATTTGCTACTATCACGTGTACCTAAGTACAGTGAAAAGTGTTGCCTTATGTGCTTTACAGGCAGTTCGACATGGTACATAAGCATGCAAAACTATTGGCAGTTTTCAGATGGTAATATTGCGGAGTACTGTGGTATGAAATCCTTCTGGTTAGATTTGAGTGTACAATTGAAAGTCTATGTGAAAAGTGTGCAAAAATAATACATTTGTCCAATAACATTTGATCAGCAGAAAGGATTTCTTCGCAAGTGAGAAAAATTATGCAGTGGTAGTTTTGACTGAACAGTGAACTCTAATAAACTACTCTTATTTGAAACCTAACACAGAAGCTGAAAATTTGGTCTTGAGCATGTTATTATTATGTTCTTTCAGGAGCTGCCAAAGTATGAGTAGTCTGTTCAGCAGCAATACGTCAGGCCTTCAAGATTCCACTTCATCGTTGCCTCGTAAACAGAACTCAGTTGATAAGCAACCTCTTCGTGCTCTCTATGACCTCCTCATCTCCCCAATGGAAGGGGTAAGTGAATAAAGAGCAAAGCTCAACTCATTCCTTATTTTCATATTGTGAACATTCACAAAACAACATGGTGCGATAAAAAGACATCAAGAAATGACCACTGGAAACAAATTTCAGTGACAAAATGATGTCGGCCATTTTCTTGTTTTAATTATGTTGAGCTACAGATATCGGTGTTGATAAAATGAATGAAGCAGTTCTGAGAAGTGCAAGATACACGTTAGAGAATATACCTCTTTTGAACCAATCAGAAGGTTGCCAGTAATGATAAGTAAAACACTTTTTCTGAAAGCAACACCATTAATAAGCTATAACAAAAGAAAACTTCTGAACAACTTTGTGAGAAATTTAGTTATATGCAGGATAATGAATAGGCAACAGTTATGTACAATAAAGCTGTCCACTGAAGGATAGTATGTAATATTGAAAATTGATAATGTGGAAGAGCAGGAAATGAAGACGAGGTTAGGGGATAATGTGGTATGAAATGGAAAGAAAAGAAACAAACAAAGCAGGATATGTAGAAGAAATCGATTATGAAACTTTTGGAAATTTTCAGAAAATGCATTGGAAATTTGTAGACTGGATTGCAACTTGAAGGATCCTCAGAAATGTGGCCAGTGTCATAAAGAGGACTCTTACTTTGTATCAGGGTGTGCAATTTAATGTTGACTACTTTTGTAGGTGCTTTTGGAAACAGAAATGCTGAACTCTAATTTCTGTATGCTCAAATTAGTAAAGTGAGAACAAGAGTCATCCATGTGTTCAACAAAAGAAGTATTTATTTCTTTATTAATGTTTGTGTGCCCATGTTTGTGAACATTACAGAATCACAGGATATGTAGAGGATGAGCACAGGGATATATAAAGAATACACATCATGAAACAGCAAGGCATATAGAGAATATTGTTATGAAGTTGTGTAGAATGGTCATGAATTGGAAGGCAGGAAGTTAGCATTTGTTGGTAAAAATGGTTGTGGGGAAAAGCAGTGCATCGTTCCTTTAAAAGATAGTGTTTTTTATGTTCTTGGAAATTTTTAAAAAATATATGTCTGTGAGCAGCAGCAGGAGGGTGCCAGAACAGAAAATACCCAAAAATTGAAACATTTATATTGAAAGACCAAGCAACATTTTTTTAACCAAGGCAACAAGTTTGAATTTGGCCAATTAATTTAAACCAAACACCTAGATGCAGAAAGCCAATTGAATTAAAAAACTGATAGTGTTGACAACATCGATCCTGTGTAAGAAATACTATTCTGTCATTACTGGTATAAAGGTGAGGGCATTTGGAAAATCAGGGACAACCAACTGCCATCTGCAGCGAAAGCAAGTCCGCCATCTGAGATATAAACCTGGCTCTCACAAAAACATTAATAAGCTCTCTAAAAATCCGCAACAAAGGTATCATGGCATTTTAGCTCAAAGTCCTCACCAAATCCAAGACTGCAGAATCAGCGGTAGTAGGACATTTGTGACGTGAGATCGATAGAAGACATAATCTGTGTGAACTTGGAGAAATTAAGTTTTAATTTATTGTTGTCTTATTAATTGAGTTTATATAAATGGGAACCGAAAGAACTGCGGATGCTGTAAATCGGGAACAAAAACAAAGTTGCTGGAGAAACTCAGCAGGTCTGGCAGCATCTGTGAAGGTAAAAACAGAGTTACCGTTTCGGGTCTGGTGACCCTTCCTCAGTATATCCTATTCCACAGTAAATCACTGTGATTTATCATTAACACTGGAGGACAGTGGAATGTGCAGTGAATATATACCTAGATTATGTAAAGTACGTAAACTATGCAACAACTGGTATCTTCTACGTAACATGCAGGAGAACAAGATAGAGCGATAACATGGTTCACTAGAGCTGTTAGAATGGGATTCTCAAAGCAAGGGCTGGAAGGAGCCCTGATTCCTGGCAGAGAATGCTGTAGACAGAGGAGCGTGACAAGTTTACCACTGACTTCATTCCCGAAGTGTCTTCAGTTATACTTTAAAGTAGAAATCCAGGAATTAAAATTTTATTGTGGAGTATTATTAACACAATAGTTGTGCAAAATTGCTTTGTACAGTAGCTCAAATTGTTAATAAAATTGATCAACAACTTAGCTGGAGTGAGCTCTTGGCTCAGCAATAATACTTGTTCCTCATAAACAGAAGGTGAAGGTTTTAAGTCCTACTCTAGCCATTATCAGTGAGCGAGCTTCAGTTCTGAATTGACATCCAGCAGGATACTCATGTAGTGAATTTGGGTGCAGTTCCATCCACAAATCATGGACATCATCAAGCGCACATTCCTACTGGGGACTAACCAAGCTAATAGCTGGCAGAAGGATGGTTATGGTCGGAAGAATAGCATTTGTTTTGTTGCCTGTGAATTCTTTCACTTCATGCTGTCAGATTGAAGAGTGTAAAGATATAAAAGTAACTACTGAATTCTGTGATGAGTCACTAGTTCAAAGTACATTTGATTTCTTTATTCTTATTTTTATTACCAACTTATGGTTCAAAACGATTCATAACACCCAGGTAGTTCAATTGTCAAATTTCTTGTGCAAAGAAATTTAAATTCTTACATAATTGCAGTTTAAACCTGCAGAGGGTGCTAAACGTCCACGTTTCTTTTCATCACTGAATTCACAAATAACGGGTAGAATTTTATCCTCCCTGATGTGACATGAGCAATGGTAAGTAAAGTGGGAAAATATGGTGAGAATGAAAGAATTAGAATCTTGACGTTGACAAGATCTTTTTTCCAATGTTCCCCTCAAGCCTTGAATGGTGACTTCAGAAGATCACCATTGAGAGGTGACCACCTTATTTCCACACATTTACATCACAATAAATTCCCAAACTGCCTTATTTGTATGCCACTTCCAATTCTCCTCTCCTCCACCAAGGAACTAGGCAATGTAAATTTCAGCGATGTAAATCAATGTGGCTACCTGGGCAGTCCACCAAATGCCCCTCCTGTCCATCATCCAACTGCGTCAACACGATGATGTCCATGCCTACGCCATCTTCCTTGACCTTTCATCCACATCAGTTGGCATCAGCAAACCACCGACCTCAGCACATCATTGTGACTGCTCTCAGGCTAACTCATACACCTGTTCAACCTTTCAACACTTTCCATTGAAGTTTACCAGAACCGATGACTTGCATGCTTCTGCCAGGTTGTCTGGCACACAGGAAGAAGCATCATCTCATGCATCTACTCAAGTTACTTAGTACAGCTCTTATCTTACTTTATTAGCATTTACTCACTTCACATTTGCTTGGAGGCTGTCAGTCTCTTTATATATCATATTGCTTTCTTAGAGCACAGGGATTTTAGTGCTCATTTAAAGATTGCTAGCCTCTTTGGCTTGCATTACAGTTTAGCAGAGAGGGAGAGGCAAGCAGCTTATCCTAGCGGGGAATGCAGAACAGTCAAACAGGTGAGCGTGGCACTGTGTTGCACCACAGCACATGCCAGCAGTTTATATATAAGCACATGTATTTCAAGCAAACGGTCATTTGTGAATTACAAAGTGGGGCATTCCTTACTTGGGTAAACAGGGACTTCGGTCAGTCATGGGTACCCCAATGGTCAGTCAAAAGGCTCATCCAAATCCTGTTTGGGGGCAAGGTGGATGGAAGGGCAGTCAGTGGTAATGCATGAGCAGGAGAGGCAGTGTGGTATTGCCAGTGAATGAGCAGGAAGTGCTGAGGGCAGCAACATTCATAGCTTGGTAAGGTGAGGTGGGTGAGAGTTCTTGAGTGGACACATTGTGTGTAATAGTAGAGTTTTAGTCCATGGGTCTTGACGAGAGGTGTGTGCAGTGACAGTTAGAATGAGTATTCACCAGTGAATGTGAAGTAGCAGAGAGAAGATAAAGGTACTCATTCTTGCCAAACTTTCTTCCTGCACTGCTGGGTGTCCGTTTCCACCTGGGACACAGCACTGACATAGGCTGCAATTTAAGTCCAGGTTGGCTTGGTCTGATTGTATGGTCTTCTGTAGTTGTCAGATAGAAAAAGACTGCCCTCCTCTCCACCAGCACTCCCTCATAACCTCCAAGTCCCCTGTCCATAAAAGAAGGGAGAGAGCTTTTCTTTCCTCTGTCACATTTCCTGAATGGAGAGGCTCAAGCACCATTGAGTGAGGGGCAGTTTCTGCCCAGCACTGACTGGATTGGTGTGCAGCTGGGCTTTAAATATGGTGCCAGGGCAGGTCCCAGCACTTCCACGTCCCTGGCCCTGTGATTCCCCAGGAAAGGTGCCTGAGAACCTGGTTACGTTATGAAAAAGGGGACTAGCGACAGGTTGCATGAGGAAATTCGCTCCGGGCTGTGGACCTTAAATCTGACCTGACAAAACTGTTCACCTGAAAATGGGCAAATTCCATCCAGCATTTCATTCTTCTTGTTTCTTTTCTTAAGAACACTTCAATGTATAAGAAAAGTTCACCGGTTTTGTGATCCAAACTATCTTTCCTCTCACCTGTCATCCATTTTCAGACTGTCCATTCAGTCTCTCAATTCCCCTTTTGTTCTTTTAGAGGTTATGGTTAGGGCATTGTTACTTTTTGTGGGTGCTTTATCAATTCTGTTGCATCCCTCTGAAGTGCAGTGGGGTGAGGGTCTTGAAGATGGAGACGGAGATGGGGATGAATGAAAATGCCCACAAACAGAACTTTTCCCATTGTGTTGGGAATAGTGTTTGATTTTCAATTATCAGGGGTTGAGGGTAGTTGGAGAGGTGAATGAGTTTCTGATGCCTGATGGTTTAAATCTATGGGACGGACTGCTTTGCAGAACTGTTCTATCTGTAAAAATGACCCTGAGCTTCCAGTTGCCTGGCACTTGAACACACACAGTGCTCCCTAACCAACATTTCTGTTTCCTGCCTGCTGTAGTGTTCCAATGAGCCTTGGTGCAAGCCCTAAGAACAGCATCTCACCTTCGCTTGGGGACAGTGCAGCCTCTAGGACTCATAGAGTTCAATAACTT